GTTTTATTTAATTTTTTTAATAAATTTTTGTAGTAGTATTTTTTAAAAATATTTTATATATTTTGTTTTATACATTTAATTTTTTTATTCATTTATTTATTTAAGCGTTTTAATAAATTTTTCATTTAATAAATTAAATTTTATTTTGTTAATTTTAATTTTTTATTTGTATTAGTATTTCATAATTTAAATAAATGTTTTAATTAAGTTTTGTTATATTTTACATATTTGTATTTTATACATTATTTTATTTGTAATTATTTTTTATTAATCTTTTTAAATCTTAAGTTTTATATGTTAAATTTAAATAATGTTAATGCTTAATTTATTCATTTTTTTATTTAATTAATCTTTTATTTTATTATTTTATTTTTATTTTTTAATTCATTTGTTTTAGTTAAGTTTTTATTTCATATTTTATACATATCTTTTAAATGTAAAATGCAGTGTGTATTGCACTGAATGAAGTATTTGAGAGAGAAAGAGAGAGTGTGTGCGTGCATGCGTGTGTGTGTGTGTGTGTGTGTGTGTGTGTTAAACAGCAACATATGGCTGCTCTACGGGTGGATTGTAAGCAGATCTCAGTCATTCAGCAGTAATTATCTGTTTGCATCTCCTCTTCTGACTTTATTAAATCACTCGTCTCTTGTTTATGTGCTTCAGTCTCTTGCTCTCATAAAGAACAACGTAAATCTCTCAATAATGAATTAGAGCAATTGCTGATTTGCTTTGAATCCATGTACGTGTGTGTCTGCATGTATGTGTGTATTTGTGGTTCATTGCACAGATTTTGTCAGCTTGGATTTATTCTAAACCGAGCTTCAGCAGATGCAAACTTTAAAAGCCAGTTGACTCATTCAAATGACGTCTTTGCAGAGGATTTCACATTTCGCTTCCATCTAATGAGCGTTTTTCTCAAGTTAATTTCTCGATTCTTTTTGACAGCGTGTTAAAATGCAGTTTTAATGGGTGGTTTCGTAAGGCTTGACTGTCACTGGTGCTCATTTTGGCATTGAGGATCTGAACAGAGGTCAAACATCAGCCTTATTTTCCCCAGAAAAGGTCAGAGTTAGACTTTGTTCCACATGTCCGTATGAAATCTCCATTTAGCCGTTTGATAGCTAGGTTTCCATCCAAATATGCAAAGTAGATTTGTGCACAGAACTGGAACATGGCATAAAGCAAAGTTTTCATCCAATGAGACAAAATCATCACTTCCTGGCGCTAAATATCAAACAGTAATATATGTAGTTTTGAGCATTAGGAGAAGCCACTGTGGGATTTTTTTCTATAATAAATGAGGCAAAAGGCAGGCGGCAGGCAGGGAGAACGAGAATACAAGGCTAGGTTAAAAACACAGGAAAACTAGACAGGAGTAACGCGTTGTAATGTCATCTAAAATAAACAAGACTCTGCAAACTGAAAGGGTGAGTGTGTGGCTTAAATAGTAGTGCAATCAGTCTCTGACATTCCTCAGGTGGTGTGAATGTAATCAGTTTAGATGAGTAAGCATGTGTGTCTGGGCGAAGTGCATGTATGAATATGTAGTCCATCAAAGGCGGAAGTGTAGTCCTTGGTTGGGTGAGTGAGAACCTAGTGGAATGCGATCGCTGGTAATCGTGACAGTATGTCAGCCTATAGACAAACCAGCTGAGTGATATGACTTTGAAATGCTCCAGTGTCTCTGGCTGGTTCTCAATTCCAAGAATCTAAGAACGGGCTTGCCTTCTCATGGAGATCCTTTTCAATATATACATTTGAGGTCAGAATTATTAGCCCCCCTAAATGAGTAGCCCCCCCCCCCTGTTTATTTTTTTCCTTAATTATGAAATGTTAATTGTCTATTTAACAGTGAGCAGATTTTTTTTCAACACATTTCAAAACATAATAGTTTTAATAACTCATTTCTAATAACTGATTTAAATCATCTTTGCCTTGATGACAGTAAATAATATTTGACTAGATTTTTTTTTTTTGTTCTACACAGCTTAAAGTGACATTTAAAGGCTTAACTAGGCAGGTTAGGGTAATTAGGCAAGAAATTGTATAACAATGTTTTTTTTTGTAAACGATCTAGGGAAAAAATAGATTAAAGAGGTTAATAATACTGACTCTAAAATTTAAAATGTAACATTAAAAAAAATCTATATATATATATATATATATATATATATATATATATATATATATA